CATCCCTTTGCGTCTCCTGCAGGATGTCCTCTCAATCGCCACAACTCTGTAGCGGGGCAGTATGCCCAGGCATGTGTCGAAGCTGCTGGTCAGTGTGATGTAGACGTCCTGGATCTCTGGACACTCATGCAAAAAGATGGACAGGTGAGGATCAATACTTCTAGCTGCTGTTTGTTGCTGATATTGAGGCGTTCAGGTGCTGCAGAAATCCAATGAGATCCATAACATAAAAAAACAAATGCTTTCTCAAATGAATAACAAACATTTTTTTATTATAATTTCATTATTTTGTCAGATTTTCTGGTATTAAACAGTTAATTTTAAAATTGCCAATCAATATTATAATGTATATAATTTTTTTTATGCAGTTACTGTGATTTCCTTTTTTAAAATCTGATCTGATCTTGTACTCCTGTATACAGTGTTTCTGTCTTCAGGTCTTCTGGCCTCAGATGTCTTATTTTATCATCTTTTGTACAGGACTACACGGTCTACCTGTCTGATGGGCTGCATCTCTCAGAGAAAGGAAACCAGTTTGTGGCCCAGCATCTGTGGAGGCTGCTGGAGAGCCGTGTGGCTGACCTGCCCTTCATCCTGCCCTACTGGGGAGACGTGGACGCCAAGAGCCCCGAGAGCAGCCTGCTCTGTGATCAGTGAAGGACACTTGTTTCAAGATTGTGCAGAGAGCCTTATAGTAGATTGCATCATGCAAATCAACATGCAACACAACATGCAAAACAGTTCATAAGAATTAATGTGTCAAATGCTAGACCATGTATTAAAGCACAATAAAGATTTTTACATTTTTTTTTATATTCTGTGGCATGCCTGGATAGAAATCATAGGAAGACTTATACATAAAAGGCTTCACTTGAGCATCTACTCCCAGCATTTTTACACAAATGTCAAAACTTTCTACTCCTTAAATTTTAAAAACAGGCTTGTTACTTTAGTTTTAACACATTTGATCAGAGTTATTATTTGATGGTGCTGCATGCCTTATTTTTATTTTTTATTTTTTTTGCAGATGAGCCATTTTAAATAAAGAGGTGGTTTATTTAGTGGACTTTAAACACAGTTTGCTGAGGCATTATGGAGTATATGACACCTTTGGGTGGATCCAGTGGTTGACCCACTGCGACAGATTTTTAAAAAAATATATACAGTATATGCGGGCCTTCAAACCGATTCAGCCTGAACAATAAGGCAATCCTAATGGTGCAGCTGGCGATTCCTTTTGGGTTTTGTTTTTTGGCTCAACACCCGATTGTGCAGTTGTCTGTAAGTTGTGGCCTCTATTCTTTAGCATCTAGCTGGCGCTGCAGAAGAAGACTGAGCTTAAAGGGAGTAACGTTGAAAGCTCACGTCTCTCAGAGATGGAGAAAGAAAGGACTGCCCAATGTGATTTAACACATTTTCTTAATAAACTGAAAGCCTAAAGAAAATGTGTTAAATCAGATATTGAATCTGTTTATGATATAAAATAAGGGGGGGGGGGGGTCATATTCTGCAACAACAACAAAAAATATGATAATCTGAGCTATGCTAACTTTGTGTTATTTAAATGGTGGGTGAAAGATGTTTGATGGACTTAAAGTAAAGCACTTTGTTGGACAGTAGCTACAGTGTTCATGGTCAGATTTAGGTTATGTAAAGAACAGAAAATGTTAATGATCCTTAGATGCATTTGCTGAATTCAACCTTTATACAAACTTGATAGGATTTAGGGTAAAGACAGTATAAACAGTATACTGTAAATGTAGGGGATGGAAATTGAAGCGAAGACCATTCATGAAAATCTGCTTACATCTTGTTGAATTCAGTTGTGCAAGTCCACAAAGCGCAGTAAACCTCAGAGCAGCAGTAACACAGTAGATGCTGCTACAAACTACTATAAAGATTACAGTGAGTTGTGATTCTTTTTCCCCTGCTGATTTTTCGTTTCCTCACCTGCCATATTTCACTTTAACCCAACTGAACTCCTGTTTAGGTGTTGAGGCAACGTCACCCTCTAGAATGTAGGCAACAGAAAATAAAGCTTTTTTTATAACTGAATCAAGCTGAGTTCATTCATTAGAATAAAAAATTAGTCCAAAAGAAAAGTATATACTAATTTAATCTTATGACATTAACATAGTGCAGGATTCAGCCTCTCACAGAAATAGCTGGTAGAAACGTCCTCAGACTATATTCTCCCAAGTCCACAAAAACATATGTGTCAGTTTGGTTAACTCCTGTGCAACTTCAAGTATCCTTGAGAGGCTAAAGAGCTGGTCCACTGTAGACTGCATAATTCCTAATTCACAAAAAAATGATCATTTTATAGTATGGTACGTGCCTTGCTCTGCCCTTGCTTCTTTCTTGATGAGGGAGGATCTCCCATCTTAAAAGCTTTCGATACCTAACAAAACCGTCCTTTAATCTACTTTCCAGTTGAACATCTCCTAACCCACATTTCATTTTACTCTTCTACAGTAATTCTCTTTTATAGGTTTCTTTATAGGGTACTTGTAGATTTGTTACCTGGAAGAATAGTTGCTAGAAGAAGAATTTGGAGAGGACAACAGTTTTAACCATATTAATGCTTTATTATTACTATTATTATTCTCTCATTTCTTTACTTCTTTTTTCATTTCATATACTTTTTCCCCAGTTTCTTTTATTACATTCTGTTCTATAATTTGTCAAACCAAATATTCTAATTTCAGATTTGACCTGCAAATTAGTCTTGGTCATATTATTCTCCAAACCCGTCCCAAATTCATCTGTTTTCTGCTGATTCTTCTTCTGCCTCACTGCCCCATTCAGCAGCTCCCCAAGATGAGTCTTAGGCATTTTCATTTCCAGGAGTTTCAATGAAAGGCAAATCAATGACAATTTGAGGCATTTTGTGCACAAAGCGCCTGTGGAAACACAGAAAACACACATTGAGACACGCTGGTCAGTACTGCTGCTGCAGTAGCAACACTATAGGGTGTTTGGGGTTGTGGGACCTGGATTACATTGATTATAAGACAGTTCCAAAACAAATCCATCAGCAGCCACAAAGGGAAGAAACATGGATGTCAAAAAATGGAGAGACTGAGTTTTTTTGCCCAAGAAATGAAGCACCGCGCATGGCTGCCAATGTGGTGAAACCAGGGTTTATGCACAACGTCAGCTCTCATGCTAAGCTTACATCTCAGATCCCATTTAAAAACGTATCGATATCAGGAAATGTTACCTGATCTAAATAAAATAATTTTCT